ATGTTTAAGTATTCTCCATTGTTTGGTTAAAATACTCACAAATCCCAGATTCTTTACAGTAGTAGAGCGTGAGCACGATCTAATAAACGCTAACTGTATGCCGTATTGTTCATTGTTTGACTAGAATAAGCGCGATTTTGGTGTTTTATTTAGGCTTTCCATTAGTATTGATCAAAACTGTTGCGTCCACATTCCATGTTTCTCTGATTTCAGGTTCGCGCTCAGCTTGGAGAGCTCCGCAGTGGGTGGGATGAACTGCGCACGAAGTCTGCATTGAAAACCCAACGGCTTCGTGAAGCGTATGAAGCCCATACTCTTCAGCGTAAGGTCGAAGATATGGAGAGATGGCTTGATAGGGTAAGTGGAATGTTTCAAGCAGTTTATTTTGCTCTTCTCGTTTTGTACTCGTCTATTGAAGATTGAAAGCGAGCTGGGCTCTGATGACCATGGCCGCGATTTGGTTTCTGTTGAACACTTGATGAAGAAATTGGACGCTTTGGATGCCGAAATACGAGTGAGATTTTCTTGAGCTAACTTTATGGCAGTACTATATCAATTTACAATGGTGTTAAAAGGTAGTGGGCACGATGGCTGGGGGCGGGCGGTTGTCGCCAACGTCATTGGTGGAAGGGCTGAGTGGGGTGTGGCCAAACGCCCTCTCGCAGCCTTCCACCAATGACGCTGGCAACAACCGTCCGCCTCCAGCAATCGTGCCCACTGTCTTCAAGTACGCAGTAAACTCTTTTTCTCATCAGGGCCGAGCCGAGGCTGTGCACGACCTAATGCAGAAAGCTCGTGAGATCAAAACTCTTGGGTCGCCAACGTCGGACGCGATCCTTGGTGCCGCTGAGCAAGTAGACGCGAGGTTCTCTTCGCTGAACGAGCCAGTACTGATAAGACGGTGAGATTCCATTTTGTCAGATATAGCCGATGTCGTCGCAATCGGTTGCGGCGCTGCCAGAAGGGGCGGAGTGCGCCCTAACCCCCTTTTCCACCAACAGCGATCAAGTAGTTACCGATTAGGGAAGAAAACAACCAGTGATGGAAATCGTGGGGTGGGCTCATTCCATGCCTCTTGACACCCCTTCCCCCCCCCAAATCCCGAATGGCTGCGACGATATTAATTGTTTTTCCGATGATTGTGAGACAAATTCCCCTCTGTTTATTCAAGAGAGAACCTACGCGATGCGCACGCTTTATATGAGTGGACGGCTTGTGCTGAAGAAGAACTCGAATGGCTCGCGGACAGGTTGCCGCTGGCACGAAGCCAAGAGTGTGGTGACAGTCTTCATGCGGCGCACAGCTTGCAGAAGAAACATATGGCTCTGGAAAAGGAACTAGATTCACGTCAAGTGAGTTTCTGCGAAGAAAGTTTTTTCTTTTGAAAGGATAGATGGTTGCTGGTTGCCTATTTAGGCCGGTATTCATGAAATTGAATCGAAAGGATTGGCAATGGTACGAGCAAAACATTTTGCTGCTCCTCAGATAGAGAAGATGATCGACAATCTCGCAACAGCGTTGCTGTCAGTTAAGGTATGCCCAGGGGTCTAATTTTGGTTGCTCAGTCCTCCAATGCTAAGTAACACAATTTAGGATGCTGCCTCAGTGCGACGAGCTCGACTGCAGCACGCTGTGGACAGCCACGAGTACTACACGGAAGCAGCTGAGGCGGAACAATGGATCAGGGTGAGATTATGCTTTCCTACTCGAGCGATTCAGAGGGGAGGGCGATTTTGGGTATGCCTTTGCGACCGACTTCTGATCTTTGGACAGCTGCAGCGGTTGAAAGAAGTTCTGCCTTGGATGTAATCGCATTGGCAGCTGCAGTGGTCCAACGATTAGCGGTGGAGCGCGCCGCGCGACTGTATTGCGTCATTCGCGAAGTATGAATACGGGCTAATGGTATATAGTGTTGTATCATCTAGTGTTTTCAGGATCAAATGATTGTCGCCATCAATCAGGAGACTGGTCGCGACCAAGCCGCTGCAGAAGGATATCTGAGACGGCTAACTCTGCTTGACAAGGAGGTGAACCACCAGATATTTCTCTCAGATGTAACTACGTAGTGTCAATTGTCTTTTACAGGTGGCTCAGTTTAAAAACGAACTGGACAGACTTCG